TCGGCGAGTACAAAGCCCGTCTCGGGACCAGGTGCTTCCTAGCCCACGTCCTCTCGGTAGCATCGTACTCCCAGAAATCCCGGTTCCCTTTCGTCCGAGACATTGTCTGGTTGACTCCAATCAACGAAGCCACAGAGAAGATCATCGCGGCAAAGGCTCCAAGCCCCCACCTTCTCGGTCGGCCGTTTCCCCGCGAAATCCTCGCAGCGCCGATACCGGACGCGCGCTCCGGGAGTACTTCCTCATCCTCCCGAGCCGCTCCTTCCTTATTCAAGTCCGTCGCGATGCACTCTTCGCATCCCTGCAAACGCACTTGTCGGACTTCTTCACTTCCGCATTGACTGCACGAGTCCGGCCGCAAAATGCCGGTCCCACAGGAACTGCAGCTGTCATCTTCAAAGTGGCAGCTGTCCTGAAACTTCGAATCCCACATGTGGCAGCGCGTGCACTCACTGGCCGCGACGCGCCCTCTGCGCACTTCTGCAACCGTCTCACCGGCCTCAATCACGACCGGTTCATACTTCGCGGCTATCAAGACCATACCCTCTTGGCTTCCGGTAGGCCAAATGCCTGGCACTGCTTCGACCGAGTCACCAATGGGCAAGATCGCTTCGCATGATCTTCCCTGGTCATCCACATCGAGCCCTTCTCGGACCCGATCGACCGGGATGAGCGCTCCATCACCAGGGAAGAGCTCAACTGGCTCACCGCAGGCCGCAACCAAGAGGTCCCTTGGCGCACCATCCCTCGGAAGAGCCGAATGATCATCAAGGGAAGAGGCCACCGAGAACGGGTAAGCTCTGTCGTGCCTCCCCTTGCTGTGATCTTCGCAGCGAGGCAACTTCACTCCCACGGTATCAAGGAAGTGAAACCCCGGTCCCGGCCTGAAGCCCAAGCCGCCTCTCGCTTCGCAATCGAGGGCTCGGCCTCCGAGTATGAGTCCGTGCCAATCTGAGCAGCCTTTCGCTGCGATTTTACACCGGATGAACAGCTCTGGTCCGTCCTTCGACGCCTCCGGTGTCGGTCCTTCCTGCAGCCTAGCTCGGAGGACCACGCTCCCCTTCAAAGGCACTGGCTTGCCCGATGCAATGCCATGCACAAACTCAGGGAAGACCCACTTCTCGAACCTGAGGATCGGGTAGTCCTTGCTGTCGGGCTGGACTCCTTTCTTCCTCGCGTGCTCAACCATGCTGACCACCAGCTCCTCCGTGATGTGATTGGCACCGGCACCTCCATCCAACATACATTCCCCCTGCTTCCCCAGGATCTTCACCACGGTCCGGTACTGGTACCCTCCGGACTCGTTCTGGACGACCTCCCACCAATCTTTCGGCAGATCGTCAAGCTCCGCGATCCCTGGACCTCCGCCGCCGTTGCTCGGCGACGTCTTCAACACTCCGCCAGAGATCACTTCTGAGTTACTGTACTCTCCGATCGTCACGCTAAGTGCAGCGAACGGGTTGATCAGGGAGCTCGCATCCGGCTTCGGCCCCATTGCCAAAGACTGCTGAGTCGCGACTCCTTGCGTCCTTCCGGTCTCTTCGCCGATCACGAGCGCGTGCAGCATATCGCACCCGGACCCCTTCTTGCAGGCGCCGTTCTTCCGGAAGAAAGGGCAGAGGACTTCCTTCTTACTCTTTCCATCATACTTGCCCTTGGAACCGCTCTTTCCTTTAGAATCTCCTTTTCCTTTTCCGGTTCCCTTACCTTTCCCTTTCTGGTCCCCCTTGCCCTTTCCTTCGCCCTTAACCGCGAGAACTGATCCGCTCTCCGCGTGCTGCTTCTTCTCCGCCAGCGCCTTTTTCCGACGCTCCTTGTCGTGGGAGTAGTGGCACTTGTCTCCCCACGGACAGGTTCCATGATCCCTGTAGTGGAAACACAGCTTCTTGCCGTTCGTGCCTTCTGTGGCCGCCAAAACCTGCTGCTTCGGCGCCTTTGGCTCCTTCGGTTTCTTTGGCTCCTTCTTCGGAGGTTGCTGTTGCCTCTCCGTCTCCGTGGAGTAGACAGCATTCGCAGTCGCCCGATGAGTGGCTTCTCGCTGCTCGACCTCCAGAACCACTCGATGAGCCTCCTCCCATGTCTGAGGTCCTCTCAGCTGGGTCTCACCAGCCCACAACCTCTTGTCACTCCGGATCTCTTTCTGCAGGTGCGCAGGCATCTTGCGAAGATACGACAGGTACAGCTCCCTCTTTCTCTTTCTTATACGCTGCCAGAGGCATAACCTTAATAATACTATGTAAACTCTAATCTTCTTCTCTCGTTTAATTATTTATTTATACTATCAAAATTGAAAAACTCTTAAAATACTTCATCTATCTCTTACCTTTATCTTGTTTCATTATTAACATTAAATTCTATTTTAATATTTACTCTATCAATCCTACAACTCATAAACCCAGGCCAACTGTCTCCAGCTCCGTGACGCTCGCCTCAAAAAGCGGTTCGAACTGGTGCCCTGTCATCTTCCCTTTCGCCAAAGCTACGTGCTCTGCGTCAACTCGTATCTCCCTTTCCTCCGGGCTCTCCGTGAACAAGAGATGCTTCGCCTTGATCCGCTTGTACACCTTTTCCGGGTCTTCCTCTATCTCGCCGGCTCGGTAGGCCGACTTATAGAGGTTCGTGAACGTCTTGAGGCGAGACCCCCTGCACCGAGATCTCAGCGCAAGCAGCATCTCCCGATAGTTCATGCCCTTGCAGGAGTTCGCGAGACCACAGTTGTCCTCGAAATGGTCGTAGAACTCGGACACGTCCTTAGAGTCGCTCCTTTCATCCCCCAGCGTGGGCCATTGCAAGTCTGTTTTTACCGACATAACTTGCGATTGATTACGGCCCTCCAGCGCCTTCATCAAGGCCGCTGTTTGATGCTCCAGCGCGTTCGCGAGCTCTTTCTCAGGAGAGGACGCCTCTGAGGCCGCCCTGTCCTTGTCCTTGTCCTTCTTCAGGGACTCCAGCTCCATCTGCATTGCCACCATCTTGGATCTCAAGGCTACAACGCCTTCGTCTCCATCGGTGGGTTCACGGCTCCGCTTCGAACCTCTATTCCGGTCATCATGGAGCTCGTCGGATGGAGTAGAGAACACTTTGTCAGGAGCCGTACTCACTCGGCCTCCCAAGTCCTGGATCAACTCCGCGATCGCGACCGTCGTGAGTCCTTTCTCTTCTGGCTCCTTCGTGTCATCGTTGGCCAGCATGATGAACTGTTCCCTCAAGTGACCAACCATGGTCCTAGGGTCAAAGTCACCCAGAGCTTCGTATCCTTCTTGTATCAACTCTGCCTTCATGATGACTGACCGCAGGTCAGCCGGTCCCACTTCTTGTCCCAGCACTTCTAACGCATGGGATATCCGTTCGGCCCGCGCCCGATAGGCCGCGAGGCTCTCATACCTCGGATCATGAAGTGCGAACAGCTTCCTTTGCATCTCCGACATGGAGACACCGGTGTATCCCGAAGAGGGAGCCGGGCTAGCTCTGCCCTTCTCCTCCCCTCTTCCACCTTCATCTCTGATAGCCGGCCGGGCTTGCTCACCCGGGGCCTCGCCCGCAAACCCCACTGGTCGCGGCGACGGCCGAGTCCCAACGTCAGGCTCTGCTGGCCCCATAAGAGCTGGGATCGGCCTCAGCCTTGGTCTGGCTTCCGGCTCTTCTTCTTCATCTTGTTCTTCTTCTTCTTCAAGGTCCTCAATTCGGTCTTCCCCATATAGCTCCGCCGTCACGGCTCTCCAAAGAGCTACTTCTTTGACCGTAGACATTCCGCGGCCATCCTGCCGGCGGGTCGGTCGACGACCTCTTCACGCTTCCTCCAGCGCTGCCAAGCCGGGAAGCTCATTTCCTCAGGCCTTGGTACCCTTCCATCTTTGATGCAGTCAAGCAGAGTGACACCAAGTTCTTCGCCTGAAACTTCCTGGCTCATCCTTCAGTAGAGGCTGCCCACACAAGCCTTTTACTGCGGTGTGCTTACAAGGGTCAGGGAGTTCAGATTTCCCAGAACAGCCCCCAACTGTGAGAGGCGTCAATCCTAACCAAGGACTAACCCAGAATCCACGTCTCACCCGTGTCCCGACTCTCTGGCACACCCGCGAAGCGGATCGTTGTTTTCACAGGCAGCGCACTCATTCACCGTGCGCATGTGGCTTGAGCCAAAATAGGCACGCCACTCCAACTTCCTCAAGGTGGACATGTCAACTTGCAAGACATGTCCACTCATGCAACCTCAAGCAAAAATAGCTCACTTACCAAAGCCAAATGCCAATGGCTGCAATGACAAAATCATGCATGAGAATGCCAAGATCTGCAGTATGTATCTATGTATGTATGTATGTATGTATGTAATGTATGTATGTATGTATGTATGTATGTATGTATGTATGTATGTATGTATGTATGTATGTATGTATGTATGTATGTATGTATGTAATGTATGTATACATGTATGTATGTATGTATGTATGTATTATGTATGTAATGTAATGTAATGTAATGTAATGTAATGTAATGTAAGATGTAATGTAATGTAAGATGTAATGTACGTATGTAATGTAATGTAATGTGATGTGATGTAATGTAATGTAATGTAATGCAATGTAATGTAATGTAATGAATTGTAATGTATGTATTACTGTAATGTAATGTAGTGTAATGTAGTGCAATGTAATGTAGTGTAATGTAATGCATTGTAACGTAATGTTGTACTGCAATGCAATGTAATGTAATGTATGTATGTTTTCATGTAAGTTTGTATGTATGTATGTATGAATGTATGTGTGCATGTATGTATGTATTAATGTAATGCGATGTAATGTAATGTAATGTCATGTCATGTAATGTAATGTAATGTAATGTAATGTACTGTATGTATGTATGTATGTATGTATGTATGTATGTGTGTTAATTTTGAGTCGCATATTTGATGGCTCGGGCTTTGTGGGCTTGTCAACTTGGCATCAACTTTCTGAAATTTAAAGGGCCCTGAAAAAACCATTTCTCTGCTTCCACCCGGCCAG